ATGGGTGTTACCTCTTACCAAAATCTCAAGAGGACAGCATTTGACAGACATGTATGGCTACAACAACAAGGCTTAGCCTTTAGAAGCTGATGATGAGCAGCTGTCTATAAACTGATGTATTCATAATCACTTTACTAATTAATTAATTACTTCGCCGATTCCTGTGACTCTTGCATCGGTTTCTTTATTTTGAAGGTATGGGTTCGAATGCCACCGCTGCCGCCGAAAAAGTTATGACTGTTAAATCAAGTCGACAACAAATGAAAGAATAAAACACTAATAAACAAAAACAATACAATTATATTCTTATTCAAAACACAAACGTTCAGTTAACTAAAATAACCTCTGTCCATATACACTTATTCGTCTTGTTTTGTATGTGTATACTTTGTATAAACGGATCGCGAACACGATTCACCGAAGAAACAATATTCACCGCGAATAAAAATATTATTTTTTAATATATTATCGTATAGGTTTTCAATGCGGCGAAAACGGTAAATAAATCATTGACACTTTTGTCTTCAGTACCTATGACGTATTGAGATAAATATTCTCGTCACATGAATATAAATAAAAATTAAACATCTAAAATATATACCTAGTCAAAATAATAACAGGCGCAATACTTCACAAGTGGTCTTCTATGTCCCCTATGGTTCTTTTTGTAATCGTCGCAAACATAATATTTTTTCAACGATAGTCAGTTCGAAATTGAAAACGCTAAATAATTAATTAGCCCCCTACGTTTTTAAATTAGATAATCATTTAGATTTCATAAAAACATGATCAACACTAGATCCACTTTTTTCATTACGTCTAATTATATATTTGATAAGACTTATAAATCAATATTCATTAATCGAATCGGGATATGTCATATTTTATAATTATGTCATTGGAATTTTTTGACATAAATGTTTGTAATATATTGTGTTCAAAATTTATATTCACTTTTATAAAATAAATTTCTATACTAGACATATAATTTGTGTTTAATTCTTGAGCGTCAACGATAGTGTTTCTTAAGAAAATAATTTTTCCGTCATTTTGGTTTATATGGTGTTAAACATGCATGGTGTATTTTAGAATTTTAAATTGGGAAGTAATCAAATAAGCCAAACTATTGTTCATCAAATTTTCGAATTTTTATTAGCACATCTCATATTCGGATATATTATATACCGATCGGTCTACATCGGTAGTCTGATAAGAACATGTTTTATAATTGTGAATAAAAAAAGCATTATGTTGAAACATATTAATTTACAAATATAGCTTAAAATAAGCAAGTCGATTAGATTATATTATTGAATACAATTTTGTTTTATTTTGTAACGTTTTTAAAATAATAAGCTGGCTTCATTGTTTAAAAACAACATACCATAATCAAATTATTTTTGGGACTGTAAGTCACAGGGCGTGCGCACGGGGCCGGCCGGCAGAGGCAGCATTTGCTAGTTTTTTGAACTTTCTTTGGGACTACCGTGACCCGGAAATATTGAATAATGGGCTTCGGTAAAATTATACTTCCACAAATGACCATTATAGATAAAACAAATTATCGAAATTGTTTTTTTATTTAGTAAATATCTTATTATAGATTATAGATTTTACCAGTATAGAACTAATAAACCTGTCTAATATAAAAAATAATTTTTTTCTACATCTAAAAATGTTTTTTATAGTCCCTGTTACAAGTTTGTGTTTGTGAGAAGAGTTCTTCCAAACTTAATATTGAAAAAAAAACAAACATAGATGTACCATGACACAGGATAGAATAAATGCATTATTATTTTTATTTGTCTAACAAGAATTAACTTGTGTAAACTGTGTAAATGATAGTGAAATTGATGAATTTAAAAATTGAATACCTGTGGAACTTAGATATTATTATAAGTATGTATTATAAGTCCACAATAAAAAGTTTATGAACATTAATAAGAGCTTTGATTATTTCATTTATAACTTACTATGTACCTATTTGACTATTTGATTATATTATAAATATTAAATGTTAACCGTAGGCTAGTGGAAAATTGCATCTTAGTACCTTATTGTACAACTTCTTATCAAAAAAACAAATAAATAATAGAATTTTGATACCCATTGGTAAAAAAAATTAAAACTATGGACCGGTGTGACCGTAGATTTTGACTCCCTAACGATTTGTACTGGAGGAGTCTAAAATTGTTTCCAAATTTCAACTCCTTGATGGAAAGTGTATATCTATCTCTAGGTTTATTTCGACCATTTTTTTGTTACAATTTTCCCTAACGCTCACTGATGTTTATTATACATTATTTTTATTATTTTAATTAAATAGTTGATTACCTTGTACATATTTTTTGATAACGAAAAAAAAATAAAACATAGGTAGGTACTATTAACTTTGATTAAATATTACATGTTGACTTTATAAATGTTATATATTATAATTATATTTTTATGATTCATGTCCTTTCTTTTATACGATTATTATAATAGGTCGTATTTTTACGATAGATACTAATTTGAATTGATTTTCTTTGCGTTACAGTTTTAATAAAAAACAATAACAAAAATACTTTACAGCGAGAATAATTTTTTTTTACTAACAGAATTGACTGTTGGTACTTTTTCATTGTAGCCAATAAAAGCATGAAGATTAATGAACACTAATAAAAACGGTTAACTTATTATTTACTGTCTACGTTACTTCAAAATTACCAACAAATATAAATTACAATCGTATCGTATATAATAATCGTAATCTGTTTGATACATATTTCATTTAAATATATTCAACATCGTGTAATTTAACCAGAGGGCTAAGAGTGCATGAAATACTGTAAACAATTTTAATTTTTAAATCATTGTTACGTCGTAAATGAATGCCACATTGTAAAAAAGGAAAAAAGTTTACTAACCGATAAAATATCAGAGATGGTACACGCTGTACACATTTGAACCACATAGTTGAACAAACCGTTCACAAAACATTCACAGAGACCTCGTTCTAAGAAAATTATATGTATAGCAGAAACTCTGCTAATGGACAACGGTAACGTCTATGAGTTTTCCTTCCCTTTAATGTTGGATGTATAATATGCCACCCGTTTTGAGCTCAATTTTAGTACAAAACAATTCTAGGCTACAATGTTAATGTAACCTTCTTTCAATAATTAAATATCCGTTTAATTTATTAATCACCACATCGTACGATATAATCGATCCGAAATGGCTGCTAATACCGCAGTCATTCGTTTATATGCAATTTGAATTGCCCGTGATATATGTTTCCATCATGTCCGTATTATATAAATACACGTTTAGACACAGGTACCTACTGACCACCGGTGAATATTCATTATGATTAGTGCATTCAATAGAATTATAATAGAATTAATATTTTCGGACTACAGACGTAAATTCGTATTTTGAATTCAACAGTAATCCGCGCATAAACACACATATAATTTGTTCGATCAAAAGTCCTATCCGGTATTGGCAGACCCGTTTGGAAATTCATTTTACCGAGGTAGGTAAATGAAATACAACAGTGCACGGCATCGAACGAAAATTATTTCGCTGCAAGTCTTGCAGCAATAACATACCGCAGCGAACAAATTAATTGGCGTTACTATGAGCCACGTGTTCGTCTCTTTTATTTAAAATTAGTGAAAAACGACAAATTTTCGGTGCAACTAACCGCTCTGGTTTGTGAGCACACCTTAACTCTGTAATAAATCCGATGCCGTTAGATATTTCACGATCCACTTTACACGCTTACACAGCAAACACGGTATTTGCGGATTACCGGTTAAACCGATAGATTCATCCATGTCGGCATAGTGAGACAAATCGTATTTTCATAATTCCGATATAACGTCTACAGTTGTACGACAATGCGCAGTAGACTTCTAGAAGCGTCTAGTAGCTTCGTATGTCGCTGGCGAAACGATCAACGCCGGAATAGGTAAAGCGAAACAACATATGAGAGGGGGTCAGAACCCGCAGGCGACGCTTGACCGACCTATATATGTACATTGTCTGGTTTGGTAGTCCGTGGCAGAGTATTTTGCTAAATTGTAGTTTTGAGACCATCCAGTGGCGATTTTGGTCTGGATTTGGGTCACTGGTAGTTGACAGGTTTGTGCAAAACTCCTGGATACTGAAATTCCGGTTACATGAAAGTTTAGACGTAGAACTTTGATGTTTCTTACATCTTAATTAGCATTTTGCTTTCCGCGCGCTCTAACGGTAAAATTATTCAACTGATTGAGTGTGATGCGTGTGGATCGTGAAAGGTCGTTGTAACAAATTGATTTGTTCCATAGACGTTCTAAACTTACGTTAAGCCAATAAATTAAACATTTAAATTATTATCTGTCCCGTTTAGCGTTACCCGTGCTAAATTTTTGTTTTACCTATCGGTGAGTGAGGGCACTCGACAGTGGGAGAGCGTTTGTTCCGTGTTATAGTCGTCGCTCGCAGACGACACGCCGTTACTTTTATATTTTTATACGTAGGTGGTGATCCAGGAGTGAGGCCAAAGTCAAGACCAAATGTGAGAAACTAGAAAAAAACATCGGATAACAGGAAAATTGTAGGAAAACCGGAAAAATCAGTACAACATTAAACAAATATTATTAAAGAAAATATATAAAGCCTATTTAATTATTTTACTATAATATAGCATATATATATATTGTTGACAAATCATCACTAGTTCAACTGAACTATGTTCAGAATNCTTAGGGAGTCTTTTTTTCTTCTATAACTCTGAAAAGATGTGGATTCCATTTGGAAATATTATTTAGCTTTTAGGCAACTAGTATATACAGCAGCGGTTCCCAAACTTTTTCCCATCGCGGCACATTATTATTAGTTATTATTAGTCACGGCACACTTTGGATAAATATTATCTACTTATCGAATAATTCGTATATAATGATGTCGGGTATTATTATCGTCATTATTAGGTAATAATATTATTATCTCTCGATAGCTGTATTTGTATATATATCCCTGAACTGTTCTGTGTATCATACATTTTTGTCTTTTTAATATTAAATTATAATTCGTTCGGTCGTATGAAACAGTTACGTTCAAACCACACCACAACAAGCCCGAATTTTATTGAATTTTTGCGACGTACTTTTTATAATAAATATGGATAAGTTTTTAAATATAAAAAAAAAGCTTGACGATTATGATGAAAATAATGGTGATAGTAAAATAAAGAAAACGAAAGTTACTGAAACCATCAAATCTGGTACACAATCTTCTGGTGCAAGCCGTAAGTACCATGATAATTATTTAAACTTTGGTTTCACTTTCTGTGGTTCAGAAACTATTCCTATTCCTCAGTGTTTGGTATGTGGAGAAAAACTTAGTCATGAATGTATGGTACCTAGTAAATTAAAAAGGCATTTTACTATTAAACACGGTCATTTGTTAAATAAAGACAAAACTTATTTTAGCCGTTTATTATCATCAAATGTAAAACAATTGGAAAAACTAACAAATATATCCGATAAAGCTCAGATTGCTAGTTATAAAGTTGCTGAATTAATAATTAAAAAAATGCAGCCTCACACATAGCTGAAAATTTAATATTACCAACTTGCAAAGAAATTGTAAAATCAATGTTAAGTGAGGGTGCTGAGAAGGAAGTTTCTCGTGTTCCATTATCAAATACACAATATCTCAACGAATTGACGATATGTCTTCTGACATTCAAAAACACGTTTTTGAAATTTTATGTCATGGCCGAAAATTTTCATTACAAATTGACGAATCGACCGATATTAGTCAAAAATGTCAATTATTAAGTTATATACGATTTATTGAAAACAACGAGGCTATTGAACAATTTTTATCTTGTAGTGAATTATTAACAACATCGACCAAACAAGATATACGATATATATATATCGTATATATAATATATATAATTGTATATAATTGTGTCAGTGATACTCTAAAAAAAATTGAACTGTCATGGACAAATTTTATTTCCGTATGCACAGATGGAGCTCCTGCAATGACTGGCAAACTTAAAGGCTTTGTTTCGAGATTAAAACAAGATTTTCGAAATATTATTTCAACCCATTGTTTTATACATCGTGAAGCTTTGATGATTAAATCGATTCCAGATGAGCTTAAAAATGTTCTTGATTTGGTAATTAAAATGGTAAATTATATATTAAATCAAGAGCTCTTAAAACACGAATTCTCAAAAAAATGTTTGAAGAAGCTGGTTCTTGTTATGAAATTTTAGTTTTACATACTGAAATTCGATTGATATCAAAAGGTAAGGTTTTAAACAGATTTTATGAAATGAAAAATTTAAAGTCTAAATGCTGCTGATCTATCAACACATCGATGAATGTCCATAATGTTGGATGATATGCACCTTAAATAGTTAACATTAATGTAATTATAAATTATATTGAATTAAAATTAAAATTTTTAAAAAATATCTTTGGCAACATATTTTAAAACACTAACCAAGTAATGAACTAAAACCACTATGAATTTCCCCCTAAACATTCGATATATTATTTTTCGATATTATTCAGTTTCATTAATTTTTATTCCAATATATTTAATTCGCTACTTTTCATTTTGAATTTTTTTTTTTCGCTTTTTAACCGGTTACCGTCAATTTCGATACCGATAGAAATTGCCGATTCGCGTTCAACGCTGAACGCGAATATTGTACACTGGTACGTTCAAAAGACGGGGATAAGAGATACGACACCGGGCGCGGTACCAAATGTACTCAGAGCCCTAGGCACGGCGCAACGTATGCGAGAGGTGCAAACGCAACAGGCTCTGTAACCACGGGGTACTAAACAGAGCCCAAAGGGGTAATGGATTCTAGGCGGAGTTCGGTTGTACAAGTTTTGAAAGACCGTAATATTTAAAATTTTAAAATAATACATCTCGTACATTTTCCCTGTTTTCCTAAGTTTTTTTCCGGTTTTTTTTTCAATTATTGTAAAAAAAACGGCTTGGAAAATCCAAAAATGCATTAAAATTGCATTAAAAAATGTAGGTTTTTATTTGAAAATCCAAAGTTGTAATCACCACAGGATACTTCCTTAAATGATGTGAACAATGTAAATATTCGAAAAAATCGTTTTTTCCACTATACATAAAAAATCTAAAAATCAAAATTTGAATTTATAAATAATTTAAATATAAAAATGAAGTGAGCATTAAAAAAAAAAACACTATTTATATTATTATAAATATTTAAGAAAAAGAGGTAATTATGGGAGAAATATATCTCTTCGGCTCCTCCATTTGAATGCTCCTGTTTTGTGTTATTATTATTTATTTTATTGATTGTAGTAATACAAAAAAAAAAAAAAAGGAAATTAAATAATTAGTCACTATGTAGTAGTACATATAAAGAATAAGATAGAAAATTTGGTATAAAACAGGAAAACAAAAGGTTGAATTATAAAATAGATTAATAAAAAAATCAATCACGGGTGATTATTTCGTATAGCTGTTAAAAGTCGGAATAAGTTATTTAAGAGGGATTTTTAAAAGAAGTAATAGTTGCTGCGTGCAGGGTTCTCAACAAAGTGTTCGTCTTGGGATTTTTCGAACGGTCAAGACGCTCGATTTTCAATTGAAAAAACCGTTAAAATTTATATGTTTAAATAAGCAAATAAAAAAAGGTCATCCGAAAAGAAAAATAGTGTTACATGTGAAATTTGTATGGAAATAATTATAAGGGTATTTAGTGCGGGAGAATGATGACGGCATGGCGGTGTCATCAAAAGGCAAATTGATGTTATGTGCCTATTGCGTATTTGTATTTGATTCATATTGAAATGTTTCTAACGAAAGTAATAGATCGGATATGGATTTTGTGTCCTCAAAGGGCCGTAGCAGATGGCGTGGATTTCTACTATGTTTGAAACATTTTAAATTATTTTGCTTGTAGATAATATTGTATGTATCCCTCTCGAATACCGAACGCATCGTTATGTTTATTAAGTTATTTACATTTTAGTAAACACCCAAGTACTCGGCCGCATTCGAATCTTTTAGTTACACTGTTTCAATAATGTAAATGATAAATAATTGTACACGGATAATCTTATGTTGTGCGAGCATTACATTACACGATTAACCAATGAAATATTTATTCATGTCGCGACAATTATTCCGCAATTATTACACGTTATCATGCGAAACGTATGGAATTGATCACAAATAGTTTCTATATTATCCCGTGTTCATGACATAAACAAAATAAACATAATTATTCAAAACATACACAAATATTTCACGATTGAATCAATATATTTTGTCTTTTTAGCTTACGGCTGCCGGCATAATCATTAAGAGGTAACCCTTATGGAATTGTCGTTGTGTCATTTACTTACAGACGGTTATCCATACAGTGGTTCAAAATATCTGTACTATCCAAACATCCGTTGTTTATTATCGCACGAAAATCGACAAAACATTAATTTAATCGTGTATTAATTTCGCGAAACTAGAAATATAATAACAATATGATGTAATCGACAATACGGTTTACACTACACGACAAGAACACAACGATAAATAACATTATTAACAAAGGAAAACGTACGTAGTATGATATTATCACATACGATAATCTGCAGTATAGTTACGCACGGATGTACGCGACTAATCTAATTTATTGGCTGTCCGATAAAACCGCATTGAAATTTCCTCCACGATTCCTCGTTTGCCTGCTCCATTTTCCGCCGGAACGCCTCGTTGTTACGGTCGAATTGTTTGATTACGGCCAATAGCACGTCGTCTATGGAGTTATCTGAAAATTTATAACATATACATTATACCTAATGTTATAATACATAACATTGTTAATAGAATGGTTTTGATGAGAAAGCCAATTTTAGTCGGATATTTTTATTTTTTTTTCGATAAAGGTATCATGTTAACCAATATTTATACATCAAGTCAAAACGAGAAATAAGTAAGAAAATGAGAATTAAGTCATATACGAATAAGCGACGTTGGTCTCTATCTATTTCTAAGGTCTTATCAACTGGTAAAAATAAATATAGCGATTAAGTAAACACGATTTATGTGTATAATTAAATTATAACACAAATCGTAAAAAAAAAAAAGATAGACACATTTCGCAAGATGGGTGGGCCACTGTTGTACGTGAGAAGTAGGAAGGTAGGATATAGAAAAGGGATTTACTGTACATGGTATATTTGTACGCAACGATTAATCATTGCTAACGAAAAACGATTCTGAGTGGAGCTCGGTTAGTAGTAGTGCTTTGTCAACAATATTATAATATAATATTTCATATTATAGTGGTATAATATTAACATAATTTTATAATTTTCAATTAGTTATACATCATAATATATGGTTTTTAACAAAAACGATTTTCGTCAAAATGTAATATTAAAATTATAATAAAATAAAAAAAAAAAAATACTACATTAAACTCAATTTTTTTTTGCCACAAAGTACGATTTAAAATGAACCTCCTGTTGATTTTTCAAGTATTTCTGTTAATCTAACAATTTTATCAACATAGTACCTACCGCATAAAAATTACGTAAAAAACTAACAAAATTAAAATGTCTATAAATAGCTGAAAATGTGACAAATGTTTTGAAAATTTTACCACGTATAGAAAAAGCTGATATAAGTTTTCTGAATAAATTTCAAGTCTTTAATATTTTCATACATTTTTCTGTTCTTTCTACGTTTTTTTGGTTTTGCTCAATTTTTTGAAAAACTACACTAAAAAAAAAACGACCTTCTATGTAACAAATATATTAAAACTGTCACAATAATAATCTCTTGTCATTTTTTTATTGGATTAATATTTCTAATAGAAAACATAAAATATAATTAATTATTTATCTAGATAATGCTTAAACAGCCTCTCACATTTCAAACCCCTGGAAGTTCTTCTGTTCGTTAAACACATAATCTCAGAAAAAATGCACCCGAAAGAGAATAGACCAATTGTTTAGGCATAGTGAAGATCGCTGTAATTTTTTACCGAATTTTACCTGCCTATATCATAATGTGGTATCATATTTTTTAGGGGTTCGATAAAATATTTTATTAGGAATTAAGAGATACTCCCCCACTCCCCAATTCGAACACTGTTTCTAATGTATTCTAATTTCACGTATAATAAACATTATCATTTAAATCGTAATTACGTCTGGGAGACGACGGTGGCGGAGTGTAGTAACAGTACGTTGAGTCGCTGCCGTCCTCGGCGAACGTCGAAAAACCGTGGCAAAAAGACGGCACCGTGATAATGGACCGGCCGAGTCTCGAACCGATCGCCGCCGTGTCGTGACGGCACGCGACGATGCACGTTGCCAACATCAACCAGCCGGACATCAGTCGTAGTAGTGGAGGTGGGTCCACGATTTTCGAGAGAGATCTGACCGCCGCCGTCGGTTTTCGTCTCGTCTCCATAATCGATGATTGACGCGATCTGTAAACAAATAATAAAAGTTTTCAGGGTTCCAAAGTCAAAACGGCAAACATGCAGGTGCGTTTACAAAAATATATTTGATTGGGGAGGAGGGGGGTGGGTTAAGGTTATACACTTTCATACTCGAAGTGAACTAGACCAGTAAACCATAATTTCAATTGTAGGATAATTTATTTTTCGTTAAAAATATTAATATTTTAAAACATTCATTTTTAGCCTTTTACTAATACTTTTACTAATATTACCCTATTATATATTACTAAACAAATCTGAGATTCAATATTTTTTTGTCGGTCGCATTTGAATGCATAACACATTTATTTAGATCACTTGAAGATTTTAATGACAAAGAGCTTAAATATGAGCGTTTCGCCAAAGATTGGTTATCTACACTATCATTAGTCAAATTTTCCTGCTAAAAAAATCATAATAAATTAAGTATAACTAAAGCGTTTGCTAGTAACTAGTATATTCTAAGCAGTAAAAAAATAACAAAATTATTACAATTTATAGAAGTGGATTGTCCATAATATTATTTAAACATTTTAAGCACTAACTAAACATGTTGGAATAAATGTTAACGCTGTAAATATTGCATATTTTTATAAATATATTATAATTTTAAATTCACTTTTATCGTTTGATTTTAGTTTTTTTGATTAGATTCACCGCGTCGACATCGGTTTATAGCTTATATAGGTTTTAGCGGTCAATAGTTTCAGTCCGATTTGTATTCTGTGTCTGAAGAAAGTTACTTGATAAACTCATACTCAACAAGTTTCCCAGTATATAAGCTGCTAGTGTAAATTCTGGTTGTCTTATAGCACACAGCAATAATTAGTATTTTCCTGATGAACCATCCTTATCAAGCCAAGTACAAATTTCTAATAAACTATGGATTATTGCCTTAAATGGCTCATGGAAAATAAATATTGAATCATGTCTATCTTACTTAACTTAAGTATCCATCTTGATGGACATAACACAACAGTTTTAAACGGTTATGGATTGATGAAGAATATACACGTGTTATTCCAATATCGATAGTCCAATATGTTAAGTACGTATCGAATGATAACAATTATTTAATAGATAAGAAACTATGACTATCAAGTTCCGCTACTAGTCACTAATAGTGATCATTCAATTGATAACTCTATAATATCATGGAATAAAACTGTAATTTTAAGGATTTTTTATTGGAGTAATACTTAACTATACGATCTACTCAAATTTTGATTGTACAATAAAACTACGGGTTTGTTAAGTGTACGATATATGTCCCGTAGTTACTCGTAATTAACATCTAAGCCATTTTAAGCGCCACCAAATGTATTGACTATCGGTGGATGATTTAAACTTTATAAGGATTTTCAAATAGACAAACTACGTTACTGTAGCTTACCATTGGTGCTCGTCAAAATAATATGTATTTTGAATTAAGAATTTTTAATTATTACAGCAATTTTACAATGGCGTAAAATAGTAAACTAAAAAAAAAAAAAAAGTAATGCTTACTTCATTTAAAACCAGTATAATGATTGTTCACTCACAGAACTTAAAATATATTAAGAACTATTTACTCTATGAAAGATAAAATTACCCATAGATTGCTCTTATTATTGTCAATTGTTTTCATTCCAGAATCATACGGTCCAAATTTATACAGTAAGTTAGTGTAGAAAACCAGAAATAGTTATTAGTCATAGTGAATAGTTAATAGTTATTAGGACTAATAGTCCATGATAGTACGATACGTATATTTTGAAAATCCGGAAATATACGGTCCACAATAATTCGGTTTGTGCGTTTTTCCCCCGGATTTCTACATTTTGGGAATATACGGTCAATGTATACATTTTTTCAGGGAGAAAATGGTCCAGGACTATATGGTAAATCATTTTCCGGATATCTATGGGCCGTGACAACACAGTGTAAATATTTTTAAATTCCGGGAAAATGCGAATCGTGAGGTTCGTGTTTATTTTTTCCGGATTTATAAAATCCGGGATTACACGGTATGCGTATGTATTTTTTCAAGATCAATACGGTCCATAAGGTTACTTTTCGGGATTTCACGGCCTCTCTGTGTGTATGGTTATGAGTCAAAATTAAACAGTTAAAAGTAATAGGTGTTTCTTAAACGATTACTCGAACAGGGTGAGTGAAAATGCGAACGCGACCTGGATATGCTACTGGTAATAAATATTTACTTGAAGATAAACTAGTATAACAGTGATTTAATAACTATCATCACCTAACAAATAAACATAATAATTAACAGTAATAATTAATATTTGTAATATTTTCATGCAAAAAGTATATACTTAATTAAAATAAATTGGAGCCTCACCAAGAACGTAATGAAGATGGTGGTGTATTGTGAACCCAACAAATTAAATCCGAAGCATTCCTTCCTTCGTGATACTATAGAATATTATGGCGATCGCTTACCATTTAGCGTGGCAACGACTCAAACATAAAAATCTTTATTTAACATGATATTATACGTGTCACAAACGATTAATTTATTTTATTACAAGCGAATAAATAAATGTTATCGCGCTCTGCAGCTTTGTTCGTGTCGTCGAGTAATAATAAAACGCGGATAAACCATGTTAAACAAGCTTTGTTGTTTACACGTTTCTATTGCAATCGATATCATTCATTATCGTATTTTCATCATACGTGTTTTGTCTTTGATCATAACATTATACACGCTGTATCTACAAATTCGGTAAATCAAATCAGTAACAGGCGAATTATACCCCTTTGTTTTTTATACCATGCGAGGTAAAATACTGCGATGTAAAATTGATACAGGTGAATTTTGACAATGTAACAGGCGAATTAAACCACAATTGTACAAAAATATAATTATAACACACATACATTTATAATACTAATAACATTTTTACGATTATGAGTGATTAACTGTGTTATCTTAAATATTATCGCTGGATATAATCAGGGATGAATCCAGGTGGGAACCTATAGGGGGCCGAGCCCTCTCCCCCCAGACATATAATTTCTCCGGTTTTTGTATGAGAATTGCATCAGAAAATAATATATATATATACAATATATTATATTTCAATTGTATTTGTGTGGTAAAAAATTGTTGCCCCTTCTCAGATCTTTGCTCTGGATCTGTGCCTGAATATAATAATGCTTTTTGTAAGTGTATGAACTAAAAACCAAGTAAAACGATATTGACAAATGGTCTATATTCATGGGACACCCTGTATATAAATTTTGATAAAAATACAACTAGTGGGCCCATAACCTGGAATATAAAAACTTGAACGGAATACGAGACAATCCGTATATCCGGACAGTACAAATCTGGACGGTACAAAACTGGACCATATAAATCTGGAAGGTACAAATGTGGAATAAAAATGTTTGAAAACCATACAAATCTGGACGATGCAGATCTGGACGGTATAAATTTTGAATTTAATATTTAAAAAATTTATAAAGAACCTTGTGTTAAATGTTCAAGTATTTCTTCGTCATACAATTGTATATTCCAGATTTGTAGCGTCCAAGTTTTTATATTCAGGTTTTTACGCGCTCTCTGGGTGAATACACAATACAAAACGTTAAACAAATTTTCATTACATTTAAAAAAAACTGAGGGTAATTAAAAAAATAAGTTTTAAAAATGTTTAAAAAAACAATTTAAAACGATTTAAATTTATAAAATAAAAAAAAAAAAACGTCTCAGGATAATACGATAATGTCCTAGTGATGCTTTGTCAACAATATATATGTCATATTGTATTAATTGTATTAATTATTGTATAAATTATATTCTACTACAATAGCATGGTAAAATAATTAAATAGACATTATATATTCTCTTTAATAATATTTGTTCAATAATATACAGATTTTTCGGCTTTTTCCATGTTTTTCCCCGGTTTTTCACATTTGCTGGGAAAACTGGGAGTGATTTTGACCACCGGCTGTCAAAGCACCCGAAGTTTCAGTAAACTTTGGTGTTCGGACGTCTTCGATCGCGTCCACTACGGTGGCCGTTTTCGTCAAATCAGGGTTTGTTGTCAAATTCGGGTTTTCTGTGTTTCGATTTTTGGCCGCTAAAGCCCTCGCATTCTCCGAAAACTGGGGGACTTTGACGTCGTCGATCGGATTTACGAATAAGTCAATCATCATGTATAGACGTGTTGCAATCCTCAAAACAACCGTGCAAAATTGTTCTGCAATTAAATTTAAAACTCTTAAATAAAATAGGTACAATTATTTCTAACACACTGAAAATATCATAATTCTAATACTAATAATATTTCTAGCGAAATGACCAGCTAGTGGCGACTTTATTCGTCGACGAACAGCTATGATGAGTATGGAAACAGCGATGATCAGTATGGAGCGCATAAATTCGCCACATGTAATTATCATTGAAAAATACTTGTTAACAATTAAACTGTTTAATGTTAAGTAATATTTCGAATATACACAGGTACTTGATTAACACTACCGTGTGCAATATTGTAATGACGGTTTTCGATCATTCCCTACAAAGGTAGAGCAAAACCATCATCAATATTATATTGGTCATGAGTAGACTTCTTTCGATAAAGACCAGAATGGTCGATATCATCTTACAGTCGTGAAGCGTCTCGTAAATCACAGAGAAACAAAAAAATATGAAAGGTACTTTGAGTGTATCTTACCAGTTACTTAATAAGTCACAAAGTCCACTAAAATTTGTTCTTAATTATAAAATGTCGCAAGACCACTTGGAGCTTTTTTTTTTGTTGTGTCCGAGCTAGAAGTGGCTCTAACAACAATCCTAATTTGGTGCAATTAAAAAATACTCCGAGAAAGTTATTGTTTACAAAAAACATTTCTGTTGAAAGTGGCAATTATTCTAATTAAGATCTCACAGGACGTTATATTATAGAATTTCGTTCAGAAAAACGTCGTTTAACTGAACCAGATAATAATGTAAATGAGGGTGAACTGGAAACATACTTAGATCAATTGTACAGTATTAATTTAGGATATTACGTTAGAGACATTTTAGAGTATATTGGTGGGTATATTATACCTACCTAGTGATGAATATTACCTTTTTACATTAATATGCCAAAAATGTATAAATTATTGAAATTATTCAACGCAATTATTTACGAAATATCGTTATTTCATTTGATTAACACGAACAATGAACGAAAATATAAACGTAATTAGGTACAATGTTTATCCTGTGATAGTTTATTCGATCGTAATTACCGCCGGAAACATGAACTTAACATTCATGGTGGTAGTAAGGTAAAAGTGAAAGACGTTAGTCTCGGTGTAGCCAACAATCCTTTTGCTGCTGCACGAGTGCACGACTGAACTTTGAACGAAAAATAAAATAATATTTCCAATCAAATATTTAATATTATTATTTATATTGTCGTTTTTAAATATTTAACATAAAAAAATATTGAACAATATAGGTATTTTAAAATTTACAATATTGTCTTATCATCAGAATTTGTAACAGCTAAAATCATATATCTTAAAGAAAACTACGAAATCTTAGATATTTTAATATTTCTCATATACTGAAACATTACAAATAATTTCAATCCTTATGACTTTCCAGCAACAACAGCCATAAACGAAAGATGTTTCTCATCTCTTAAAAGAGTAAAAATTTATTTAAGGCTAACCATGGGAGATGATTGGTTAAGTGATCTTTTACCTTTTGGTTATTAATGTAGAAAGCACTGAAGCTTCTAAAATAAATTTAGGTGAAGCTGTTGATCAATTTGCATGTTTAAAACAACACCGTTAATCGTTATCCTTTAACAGCTTAATGTTAGTTATACATATCCATTCATAATAATCAAAATAAATATTTTTTATTTTTGTTATTGAAAAATAAATAATTTATCTACAATTAAGTATATTATAATTTATATTGTTAATTTTTTTGTTGTTTTTGTTAAAAAATTATATTATTGTAATATAATCAAGGTATGACTAAATTGTTTATATTTAATACGTCGAAATTCTGTGCATAACATTCCAGTAGGTACCTGAATATTTACCCCCTCCAAATCACCTACTATGGCAATAAACTAAGTGAACCTACGTGACAAAAAAATGTTGAGTCGGAAAATCAGTGAGTGGTTGCCCTCTAGGCTAACAAAAACTGAAATGACACCACTGTTAAATGGTGGTTAAACCCTCAACCATACACATCGATTGTACCGATTAGAGAATTTATATCGACGCTTGAGTAGACTTTATTGGTACTATAATGTTACAACTTTTTGTGAAAGAGTTGTTTTTAAAAAAGTGGCGTTTATGTCAATTGACCTTATAACAGTCAATGTATATTGCCTAAACATTTATTAACTATAGTAGTGACCAGTGACCACAGACCACTTTACACTTAGTATATTTCTCATTATACGTTTATAGGGGGCCCAGCTCGCTCAATTGTTTCATTATCGCCTATGAAACACACCCCGTTTTGAATATAATATGAAGCAACCATTATCACAAGTTTGAATGTCTCTTAAAATAGTGTGTTGTGAGTCATAGGTAAAACTCGAAAATCCGAAATGTGAGACGTAGAAAAAATAACAACGGCCTATACTGATGATGGGAGTGCCAATGTTATGAAGAGGGAAGTAAGAAAGTTAGCTGCTCTACATAGAGTTATTTAGTATATTTCTATACTAAACGGTAAATCTTTACCAACTAAAAACGATTCTAAGTGGAGTTGAGTAAATCAATTTTTTAAAACAAATTTAATTATTTACTTATTTATTGTATAGTTTGATAACCATAACAAAACAAATCGTACAATGAAACACATAATATTAATTTAAGAATTTATTAAATACCTATCCAGGAGACAATATTATATTTTATAAATAAATTGTATTACGTCAAAATCAGCACATTTTTTAGGCATAATTTAAAGTTTCCATAGTCTAATTGGCGCAGTTCTAAAGGGAATTTATTAAATACAAAATGACCGACAAAATTGAATGAAGATTGAGTGAACATTTTGTGTGTTCAAGGAACAATGACTCTATTCAATTTATACCTAGTGTTAAAATTATGTTTGACAGATTTGTTTAGGCTATTCTTTATCGTACAGATAATTGCTGGTTTAAAAAAAAAAGTTGTTTTATTGTTAAGACATTGAATTCCATGTATAAGCCTATATTGTGACACTATTGGTTCTTATTAAATATAATTCTTGATATATTGTTTTGGGCTATTTGAATTTGATTAAAGTTAGATTTGCATGCACTGTCCCATGCAATTATACTATAAGCAAGCAATGACTCTACCAAGGCTTTATATATACAGTTCTAATGAAAAATTGTTAAAAAAGCGCTTTAGTTGGCTAAAGGTATAAAACAGTTTTCTTACTTTGGTCATCCACAAATTTATGAAAACTGCATAGGAATATAGAGGTTCTTAGAACACCGTGGCGCACAAGGACTAAACACAGTGTTCAACAACCTCTTGACCGTTCCGTTAGTAAAGCAGGTGACCAAAGGTTTCGGGGTTTTTTGTGTGGTTACTGCCGAACGCATTCACGGAAACATCACGTGTATACGACATATTGTATAATAAAACAGCAACGTAGTCCAAATTATCCATTATATACATCACTACCGCAATGGACGCTACAACTTTATAGTGCTGCGCTGCTTTACTTTAGGTGCAATACCAAGATTCAAAAATTTAAAATGCCTTTAAATAGCTCAAAAATCGCCAGAATATTTTGAGAAACTATACCATATCGATATCTTAAACCTAATTAAATTATTTAAAATATTGAAATTGTACATATTTTTTTTTCAGATTTTTCCAATTACTGGACATGCAACAAAAAAAAAATCAAATCATTTGTTATTTTTTGATTGGACCAAAATTTCTGGAAGAGTTGTACACAAACACAAAAAGTAAAAAAAAAAAAAAAAACAATTTAAAAAACAAAATACATTTCTCAGTTTCTCACTCCACTCAGAATATAAAAAAACGGCCAAGTCAGTTGGTGTCCGTTCGATGAATATGACTCGGATTATAATTCAATAATATTTAATTTATTATATTCAATAATAATATTTAGTCGTAGTATGATTTAGTACGAAACACAACTGGAGGTTTCTTAGCCGCTATATAAGGGCTAATTGTGACATGTGGTGTGATGTGAGAGCTGCTCGATTTGAGTAACATTTTAAAAAATGACAATTATTATTGTTATCATAACATGAATATCACGTAGCACTAGTAAAAATATTTATGACTTCGACAATTATTTTTTATTTTTTATTCCCCGATTGGTTTGATAATTTATAGCGTGTAACAGATATTAGCTTATCTCGGTGTGTTCCGCGGTCTCGTGTGCGTGCCGTGAGAAGCGATTGGTCACGAAGACCAGATACCTCTGCGTGCTCTTTAGCCTGACTTACGACCGTCGCCGTGCACATCACGTACCTGACAATAGCTGATAACCGAATAAACATAATAATAATAATTTTATTACACGAGAGTAATTCAAGTTTTTTCTGCTCTGCTGGTGCATTCCTGACCGTTTGTCCTAATTGTTTTCTCTCGTTTTATTAATGAACCGCGTGATTTTTTCAATTTTCGTTTAAGATTGTTCTACTTTGGTCTTTAGATTTCTCGAATCCTGGTGCCCAATTAAATGCCGCAAATCCGCAGGTTTCGAATCCTCCGTGTATGTGTCGGGGGATCGGGGCGTCCGCCCCGTCTGGAAAACGCGGTATTCTCCGAAAATGTCCACGGTAAATATCACTTAAGTCAAATCTTGTCCGCTTCATTTCTTTCTCTAAAGTTTCAATGCCATGCAAAGATATTATATTCATGCAGGAGAAATAATGACGAATCACTATAGGTGTGCCAACATATCAATACCTACACGCGTGAACGTTTTTATTTCGCAGGACCACTTACGTGCGTGTACGGCAAAGATCGTTTAAAAAAGAAATCCGATAATTCGTATTGTAGTAATACTTTATACTGCAATATATAGCTACTTTGTACGATGGTCGAAAGATTTTCCCGCCAATTAACTATTGTGGGCATTGTACTCGTGTGCATACGATTATATTTGTACACACGTGTCGATTCTGATGCACTTTTATCCGCCATTATTATCAGTTTATCAATCGGAAAAGTGTAGATTACACGTGCATTTTATAATATTATATTATATTAATAACCTTTCAAAACTCGATATATATTGTAATACAACAGGTGAGTAAATCACGTACACGGACCAAAGGTTATAGTTATAATATAGAAGCGCTATTTCCTAGTTGAAACGTCTAGACGCCTCGCAGAAAAAAAAATCGGTCTACAGTTTTTATTTATATTATTATTATATTTTTCCCAAAGCTACGGGGGGGAGGGGACACTTTAATTACATAGGAACCTATAGTTGGCGGAGTGTTAGAATTACAGATGTAAATTGTATTGCATAAAATATAATAATACCGCTTGTATATTAAAAAAAAAAAAAAAAAAAAAAATAGTATATAATAAGATAATAAATATTATAAATTATAAGTTTTGATCGAGGTTTTAATTATTTCGTTAAAAGGTCAAACTGCAACTAAAGTTTACAGTTTTCAAAATGTTCTAGTATAAATAAATATTCAATATTGCTTATAAGTTTTTCTTGTTACTTCTTAGTTGTCTGCACAAAAATTCATTGTAACTGGACAAAAGTAATGTAAGAAAATGTAAATGGTATGTATATAGAAGAGTATAATTTTATAAATCAAAAATATAATACGTGATTATAAAATATAATATAGTGAAATTTGTTTAAAAAATAATAATTCAGAATTTTGATTGATTCAGACCGAAAATATTGTTAGAACATAATACACTGTATTACGCACACGCGAATTTATATGTTTATTTAATAAACAATTTTAAACTACCGAGTTTAAAACGAACGGTTTAATTTTGAAAATGGTTTCAAAGCGTTGACATGACAATAATAGGTTTTAGTTTCAAAACGATTTCATTTCAAACTGTTTTAACCGCCATCATAACATAAACGTACTAAGAGATGCGTATTTAGACAATTTGATTTTATTTCAATGATTTAGTTAAATTTTTGAATGGATCGATTTCAAGGTTAGTGATATTAAAACAAATTCAAATTTAACTTTGATTTTTTTCTTACTCAAGTTAATATTTTCAGTTATTTTTAACTCAACCGTGTTGTATGATGTAAAAAAAACATTCAAATATTATAAGTAATCTTAAGGGAACGACATCATACCGCAGAGGAGAGGGCTTGTTACGCCAGTCCAACGGTCCCAGGAGCATCCACTTCTATCACGAATGTTTATTAAAACATAGTTGTACATTTAGAAAATTAAAAATCTACTAACAATCAAATTTAATCGTTGTTTGTTTTACTTATTTGTTACTTGACTTTAATATGTTTGAAACATTTAGTGATTCGCCCGGTTCGCCATAACATATGCATATGATTAGAGCAACTTTAGATGTTGTTCGGACTGTTGGGACCGACGCCACACTATTAATACGCTCACTTCAAGAGCATTTTTCTTAACTGATTATCAAGTTTGTCGAACATGAAAACCGGTGACCAACCGTGGTAAACAATGTTACTATACAATGCTCTGACGCATGATAATAATTCAATAAAATATTATGAAAATAGTATGATGTATGCAAAAAAAAATAATTATTTTATGATTAACACGAATGCTGCGAAATGCGGTCGAATGCGTCATCTCAACGGTTTTTATTCTAAATATTTTTTTTTTAACGCCGTATCAGCGTATAATTTGATTACTGGACAAAAAATCATAATACGCATTTACAACAAAAGATCGATCGACCGATCGGGATTTTCCAAACACCTGAAGGGAACGCCTGAATACACAGTTAGGTTAGTTGCGTTTACCAAGTGTTGATCGCGTTTGTAACTCCTAAAACTGGTGTAATCATCATGGTCTAAACGGGTCAAATGTCCAATCACGACCCACCCACAGCTGGAATATATATATTTTTTAAGCTCAAATTTTCACAAAAAAAAAAAAAATATATTTAAAACAATGTCTAGTTTATTAGTAGTCTATAATATTTTTATTTATACGCGGCTGGTTGTCTCTGGGAATCTTTTGTATTTCATAAACTACATGCGCCGCGCGATACTGCGGAACTTAGCTCGAACGTCTTATTAAGTAAATTCGCTATTTCATCAAAGTATTATTGGCGCCTATTTATTCAAACAATAATTGTATGTTTTACTTTATTATTATCTGCTCATTGCCATACTATAATAGGTATTGTATTGCATTTGCACACGAACTCTGAGACGTATTTGATAACGAACGCATTTTTATTGACAAACATGATACGTCCGCATAAATTTAATATTATATATTTTACGATATAATAATATAATATTATTTTATAAATAATTTTAAAAAAAAATAAACATTAAATGGGTCAGTTATGTGTACGTGTCCTTATTTGAATACCGTCAAATTGAAATATTTAAGATACACCGGGCTTATCAAAATTCGTGTTACAGTCAAATTTTCAAAAAATGACAACAATTTTTTTTGAAATCGTATATTTTCAAAAATATTAAATTGTCTTTATTTTTAATGGTAAAACGACTACCCGTTGACGGGAATATCAAAAACATCGAATTTTATTTAAACAAATACTCCGTTTATTTATGGAACTTTCAATATAAGTTGTCATTATGTAATATGAAATTTGATAATCCCTGTATACTACAGTATACCGTTTTCGTATATTTACAAACATACATAATACAATAAATAATACAATTATTACAAAATAAAAATAAATACATTTTATTAAAATACAGTTTATTAATCGAAACATTATTAGGATTTCCAATAAGTGTTTACAGCGTATGATTACATTAACACATGACTGTGCTCACAATTTGTACGTACGGCAAAAAAATAATAATATTGTTCGAGTTTTAATGTAAATTATATAAAATCAAAACATTTTCACGCCCGTGAGTACCCGTTTATAAAATACATGTTCAAAACCCCGGTGTTAAACCTAATCGAAGGTTTTGCTGTTTAGGAAAAATCTCAACTAACGGACAGTGTTATTAATAATTGGTAATTTTTTTCATTTTTTTTTTTTTTTTTTTTTTTTATAAATTAAGGCTATTTTATTTATTTATTATATTTTAATTTCGTAAATATTCGCCGTCGTGCGGATAATGTGTACAGAAGTCGGGGAAATCGTACTCGGCCCGTATAAAATGGGACGCGTTTGAGAGCAAAACAAAAAACAAATACTTATAGAACGGCTCGCACGGACCGCAACGGCCATACGGCAGTCGCTAGTAATCGATCTTCTTATCTTTTTTCAGGATCCTGAACCAAAAATCTTCGAACTCCGGCACCACCGCGAATATGGAACGGCGGGATCGGACGGCGCCGGCTAATTCGGCCATCGTCCCGGACTCCCGGTCGTCGTAGCTCCTGTTCGCGGCGGCGTTGGCGGTGGCGGCCCGGGGACAACGCGCGAGCGCCGCCAGAAAAACCGACAGCGATAAGACCGCGACGATAACAATGACGATTACGATTGATCGTCGGCTCGACATGGTTAAACAGAAACTGAATATTATGCAGAATGTGACCGGCCGACGCCGCGGCGGTATTTTCACGGCCGACGGACGTTGTCGCGGCTGTTGGCGCCGTCGGAAATTCGATCGCCAACAGATGGCGTCCGCCGAACGGACGGCGAGTAGCCCGCGGTCATATAACAACAATACAAATATTATCATATATTACGAAATGTAAACAACTCCCGGTACCGCACTCTGCATCCCCCCAATCAATGTACACGGAAAATCGATTTTAATTCGATTATTTAACGTGTATTAATATCGATTGTTATATATATATATACATACATTGTCCGTACGTTTTTTTTTCTGTTTGGAAAACGTAATTATTATTCGCGATTACCCTGATATTACAATATAATATATTATATTATTAAATTCGCGTTACATAAAACTACGTTCATGCCGGTGAATACGGCGGCGGCGGCGGCGGCGGCGGTAGCTAAACAAATATTACCTAGGCTACATAAATGTATGTACATTTTTCGAAAATCAAACACGTCATGTCGACAGGGTGCGGCGATATGGGGTCATGTTACTTTAAAATTAAAACTATAACGGCACAGTGTCCAAATGACGAAACGAGAACCCCCTGTCAAAGTGTACCAGTAAACAATTAAAATTATTTGATAATATAATAATTAATATGCAACGTAAGCGAGCCGACCTAATATACAAACGAAAATAATAGTGGCATACCGGATTAAGGTTTGTATTTTGTTTTCGCGCTGAAATCGGTTGGTCGACCAATATACGTTAGTTATTATTATATTATAGCAATTTGCAGTCTATACGAATCTCGTTTGTTTTCGAATTATCAGCCGTTGTATACCAGCTATGGCGTAGGGTGGGGCCATTTTCCTCGCAAAAGTAAATGTGCTTTCCTACAAACAAATTGTTCGCGTATATTTTTTTTTTCCCAAATACCTATATTACAATAGATACCGATTAAAAACTCTAAGTAATACAAAAATGCTCAAACTTAAACTTAAAAATAAAAAAGCCGCCACTGACTTTCTGTTTACCGTTTTCTGTACTTTAATTCGTAAACTGCGACATTACAATTTCAGAATATTGGATGAAAATCGTTTTGATGATGCAAACGAACAAATCAATTTGTTCTTTAAACTTATTTACAAATTAATTATCTTTGTTTATGCATAAAAATATTCTTGATCAAAATATAAAACTTAAACGTATACCGTGGCCATATTTGTTTGAATGTTAGTCATTTCTTTTTCGGTAATGCAGGAAAACGCAGGACAGCGGCAAAAAACGGTATCTCATTTTTAAATAAAAATAACTAGATATGTCATATTTGCTAGTTTTTGTTAAATTTTCATCGACCCGTCTGTCTATATGTTTAATATTTTATACATTATTCGTATTTTAAAAGTGCGGTATTTTTTTTTTTTTTTTAATTCAGAGGGATATCAATTGGTTTTACTATATTTGATTTAGATTCTGAACGGAGCCAGGAATGTATTGGTTTTACAACGATGTTAATTTTATTTGTTAACAGCTTTTCTACCAGAAATTTTACTCAGTTTTTAAAGTATAGAACTTATTCTGAAAAGAAATCTGACTTGAGTGGTACTTTAGGGCGGTAATTTGTTGATTTTCTCAGGTTTTATTATAATAAACAGGAAAACATATCTATCTGGCATGTATATATTTATTCTCCATATTAAATAATACCATTAATTGCATTCAATGATCAGAAATAATTTGTCTATAGGGGTTATCGTAGTACAATAACATTGACCCTTAATAATAATGGCTTATTACACCGGCATGGAATAACAAAGCAGTTTACATGTTGTCAGTCTTGCGCAATAATAAAAAAAAAAAAAATAATAATAATAATAATATATTTAAAAGAATAAATAGATGTGCATTGGTATGTATTTGTATATTGTAATTTATTAGTACACTGTACAGTAAGTAACATATCTAATCACAACTACCATCTTTCCACCCGTCTCTCCATCTTTCATTACATTCGGTGCAGTCAAATATTGTTTTTCCTATTTTTTTATTCACTTGATTGTGTATACCACATAGCCAATCGGATAACGCTTCCTGAGAACTGGTCACTGGTGGTCGAAAAGTTATCCTGTTTAAAAATACATCTGGCGATATTAATTATGAATTATCAGTGTCACCAATCAAATGGTTCATCTAATATATAAATACCTACCTCATCCAGCGAGATAGTAGCACCAACCAAGGTTAAAATGGATGCAACCCGATTGAGCACAGTTCACCTTTTTTACGACCCGAGTGAGCACAGATGCAACCAAACAATAAGAATCCAAAATACAATCCGATTGAGCACAAAAATACATCAAACATTGACGTGCTTATTGTTTATAAAATAAATATGTCAATATTTTAGATTCTGAGTGGAGTGAAGAAGCTTATGATTTTACAAAGATATTTAATTTTTTTTTTTATGGACAACTTTTTTACCAGATATCTTGCTCTGATTTTTACGAGTAGCACCTTTACTGAAAGGAAATCGATGTGAGAGGGAGGGGGGGATAATTTAACGAGGTCATTTTTCGATTTTCTCAGGAGATTTCTCACCAAATTTGAAAACCCGAAAAAAACATGGGAAGACCGGGAAAAACGTAAAAACCGGGAAAATTGATACAACATTAAACAAATATTATTAAAGAAAATATATAAAGCCTATTTAATTAGTTTACTTTAATATGGCATATATATTGTTGACAAAGCATCACTATCAACTGAACTCCACTCAAAATAGTATTTTCGTATGGTTCCAATGGTTTTCTATTACAATTACCGATAACAGTGGTTGCACCCGTTCCCATTATCTTATAACGTCTTTTTTAAAATTTTTTTGCAAAATACTTATGTCCCAAATTTTAATATATTTCAATATAATATTTTCGTTTTTGTCCTTAAAAATATATAAAATTGTTTATAAATGTCATAAAAAAAAAAAATTGTATAATAAATAAACTAGATATTTTATAATGGTATCTCTAAATATTTATTTCCTACTTTTTAAATAAATATTTTAGTAAATTTTCAGAATGTTCATTTTTTAAATATTTGTCATAAGCCATGATAGTTGCATTGATATTTTACCTTTCTAAAAACTCATATTTTTATGACTGTTAGTTTCAATTGACCGCAAAGTATAACGATTGATGAATATTTACCCCAGCATTAGTAGTATACGAGTATTTCAAAAAAATCGTATGTGTCAGTACTTGGTTGTAGACAGACAAAAAAATTTGCAAAGTTGCATTCACTTGATTGCATTGAAATTGAGTTGTTAAAAAATATGAACCATGCTCAATCGGGTTATTCAAAAATAAGGATTGTACTCAGTCGGGTTCCACCGGTTGAAATTCACTATTGAGCTGCTGTAAAGTTTCAACAATGGGACGAATGGTATTAAATGTAATTAGTTATTAACTAATAGTAAACGGTAAATTTGTTTAAACATTTTTACTATGTGGGCCGCGTAAAATTGATTTACACCACAACTAAAACACAGGCTATCTAAGTATTAAAAAATAAACTTGAACATTTTCTTAGAAGTAGTACGTTATGAAAAGGACATTAATGTAAAATGTATAATATAATTTAAGATTTGTCTGAAAACAATAATGTGATGAATATCAGGTATTATTTTTTATACTTATTCAAATTTATTTAAATAATTAAACAGATACCTATTTTAGAAGACATGGGCAATATTAGTGTAGGTGTGCCCACTTGAAGTACCTACTAGTTGTACATTTATACCTAACTAATCAAAAGAGCAGCAATAAAAACGTATTAGTGTTACTTACAGCTGAGCAAAATCACGCGCACACATTTCACATGGATAAACACGACCGAGCAGTTTAAAAAACTGATTTATATCGTTCTGTTGATCAAGCGTGGGCTCGTCCGGATAGTATGCTGCCATTGTATGGAGTAAACTCCATGTACAGAATCCTATATGTAAACAAAAAAAAGTATCAGTTTTTCAAATCCTCGATCTTGAGGTTTTTTTAATAGGTATAAATAGTACCTATGTATGTAGGTATTTCAAAATTTCTGAAGGAATTGGATGCCTAACGGTTTTAAAATAGGCAGTTTTCATTTTTAATTCGTAATACAACGAATACAAGTTTAGTAGGTAGGTAATAACTATATATTCTAAACATTATACAAATTAATACTAAAAATATCCACAAATATATTATAAAGATAATATAAAATAATGACCATATATATATATATATATATATAAGTATATAAGATATTATAATGTCTAATATTGATGAAAACTTCTTAATACAAATATAAAATTTCAATATTGTACGATTATGTAGCGTTAATTATTTAACTCACCTAAGGATTCTCTGTTCAAAGGGCAATCGTGGTATCCCATTAAATTTACTTCTGTCGTCGGAGGAATAAAAAACTTGAGTTCAAATTTTAACAGTTTTTTTAAAAATCGTTTAAAATAGCTGTCATGTAAACAAGGCACAAACAAATAGATACCGGTCACTATGGAAGGCGAAAGCAATATTCTCGAGGCATTTTCATATTATCTAAATTCGTTATATTAAAATATAAACAAATTAATAAACCACTGATTCCAGAAAAAAAGACGTTTGCTCTAGCTTTAGCAATGCGTTTACATTTTATCATTTACAACAGTATACTGGCTCTTTTTTAAACTACCTATACCTATGTGTTTTAGCCAGAATAATTGTTATGTAGGCAACTACACAATATCTTTAAAACATTTAGGTTTATAGTCGTACATTTAAATAGTGAAAATTCAATAACCTTCAAAAATTCGTGCCTAGGAACCCAACCTAACCTAACCAAAAACACCAATTAGCTAACCATTAGATCAGCATCCCTAAAAACACAAAGACAACTCTGCAAAGCCCTTGAGATGGTCTGTAAGGACTTAGTGATGTCGCGCTTGAGGAAATATTCACCTACATTTATAACAGAATAATTTAAAGTAAGGTTCAGGACTGATTATACCAAAAATGATCAAAATATGCGGTTAAAACTATCAAAATATTCAGGTTTTTCATTTGAAAAAAATACAACATTTCTTTGAAAATTTTAAAAAATAAAAATGTTAAAAATAAGTTAGAACAAGTAAATTATGTACCTAGTATTAAAAATATTACTGCATGGTACTACTATGCTTCCTCTACTACTGAAATAGAGCTGATAATAGTGATTAATGAGAGACCTTGCTTTTCTAGATTATTGATTGCAAAAAGTTTTCTGGTAGAAAAGTTGTTCATAGATAAAAAACAAAATTTAAAAAAACAAATATTATGGTAAAACCAATTGATTCCTCGCTATCTAAATCTAAAATACAGTGAATTAATTAATCTAATGGGGACTATAGGCGTAATTAATATTATTAGCCGCGGGTCACATTGTGGCCTTCGAGCCGCGTGTTTGACATGCCTGAACTAAGTTTATTCAAGTTTTTTTGTAGCAGATTTAAAATATAGGCATGCGCATTGAGCAAGTAGTATTGTAATCGGTAATATTTCTAAGATTTTTTACGATTCAAATTTATTTATCGGTAATAAAATATCGGTCATCGATTGGTGATCTGGCAGGAACTAGAGGGTTCCATCGACCGTGGGGACCCTCTAGTATAGAGTATAGTGGTTTTCTCGATACGGAAAAGTGAGGAACATTATAATCAAAATAGTATTTAAATTAAAATAAACAATACAATAAATATACAATCTACATTTACAGTTTGATTAAAACACAGTAGAAAATTTTAGTGATTCTTTGGATTATACTGGAAAATCGTGAGCAAAGTGAAGAAATTTAGAATATGGTAAAAAAAAAAAAATAATAATAATAATAATAACGATAAAGTAAGGCGTTTAAAAAAAAGTAGACAGTAATAATGAAAAAAGTCAGCCACCAGATAGCCTGCGATAGATAATAATTATGTATAATATAATGTTATACATAGGTATGTGTATTATATTGTGCACATAAATACACAGTTGGAAAAATATGACCGTATCGCCGAGGGAATTTCATATCTCCGTATAGAATTTTAATAATTTAATCCTATTATGTAAATATCGTTGGCTTTTATTTTTTTGCTGCATACATAATGTTATACTATTGTACCGCCGTAAATGCAGTAATTTATGTTTTTATTGTACTCGTATTCATTATTTTACAATATATTACGTTAAATTCGGTATCCGCGATAAAACGAGAACAGACTTTTGCCACCCTTGCCGCGTAAAACTTAAAAAAAAAAAATAATAATAACAATAATAATAATAATATTTTACGCTAGTAATACGACTTACATTATACAGTAGTAACAATAAGTGTATCGGATCTGAACACGGCCGCGAATCGTTCGGTTGTCCCGGATGGGGAAAAAAACAAAGAAAAATGTTGATTACATTTTCGTAAAGTAAATTTATGGGCTTTGACTGTACGCAGTCTGTACTGTACGGTCGAGTGACGTAACCGGCCCTTCTCGCATATAATATAATATATATATACAAGATATATTATATGATTTATGTTATCACATCATCTACTGACTCCGGAGTATTTGTTTTGTTTTTTCCTTTTTTTTTTTCTTTTTTTTTTAACTAAACTCCTACTTGGAATAATATTCGGCGGATTCTGCAGTGTGCATAATATTGGGATAACAAACACATTGAAATCGTAATTTTTTACAACAGCGACTAAACAATTTAATTTATTATGTACTTTGTACAGATATATAATCTCAATAGACATATAATATATGTACATACTTAGAATCTATAGGCTGTATAAAAAAAAAAAAAAATACCGTCATGTGTAGTATAATACATATTTTGCACTAACACATCGTTCCAATCGGTTTTTAATTATTTTTATTATTTTCCCCTAAAACAGAATATTTTGTTAAAGAACCGTTTATATACGCCAAGAGCTTACATCTAAATTTAGATTGTATACAAATTAAAACCAATTGAAGCACACACAAATGTTTGATTAATATGGTCTATGAAAGTTAGTTTTTATCATATTTTACATAAAATTTCTCTAGTAAATATCAGCTCAGTAAAAAATATCAATGGAAGAGTTACAGTAATAATAGGTATCGGATGTATTCTAAAAAAAGGACGGACATACTTCGCACGTGGGTGCAGCCACTATTGTATATGGAAAGTTGAGAAGGTAAGATATAGACGGGAATTTAATTTACATCTATAAACAACGATAAGCCATTACTAACGAATCTGAGCGGAGTTCAGTTGATAATGTTGCTTCGTCAACAATATATATGTCATATTATAATAAAATGATTACAACAATGTAAGTTTCAATGACAACAATGATTGTTTAAAAAAGATTAATTAAAATAATAAAAACTTAATAATAACAAAAATAAAAAATAAACAATTGCCAATGACAACCTTATTTTTAATCTTTCAAAGGCCGAGGTTTTCCTCGTTATCTCGAATATTAATAAGAATTTTAAAAAAGGACATCTTTAAAGTACCACCCAGAGAACTCAAACTAGGTTCTCTAGTAGAAAAAGTGTTCACATAAAAAAAAAAAAAATAACTATCTTTGTAAAATTAATATATTCTTCGCTGAACTCAGAATCTAAAACTAAAACAAAATGAGTTCCTAGTTATTTATTAGTTTTTTTACTAGCTTGACTAGAAAAATGTTTGAAAAAAATGATGTCTTCTCGACTTTTCTTGTGGCTTACAGTTTCCACCCTTGTACAGTTAACCGTTGTTGCCACATAATGGTTTTAATGGCAATATAATTATTTTTTTTATTTACCGAATTTCTAAAATGTATAAGCATATATTTAAATTAGTATCAATAAAGTACTTAAAAACCAAAATACATTTGGTCACTTTTGAATGTTAAATATTTACCCTATATTATTTACACTTTTTTTATAACGTTAGTAGTTATGAGGCCTGTGGAAAGAACATCCCTGAGAAGAGCAGATTATGTTTTTATTTCTCACTAATATTACTATAAAATACATATTTTAAACCCATACGATTGTATTTTTGTCATAAACAATGTGTAAAATAAAAAAAAAATCATTCATGCATTTCAACATCATAATCATGTAAATGATTTTAGAAATGTCTGTTAGAAGTTAATTTGATGCATTATTTTAGTTTAGAATAACCTTTTTTATTTTATTACATATTAAAATAAGATATAATAAAATAAAATGTGATTATTGTACTTCTAATCACAACTTATATAATAAACGTTTAAGTTTTGAATTAACGCTGGTTTTTTTTTTTCTGGGGATATTTTTATATGAAACCATAAGTTTTATATCATTAAAAACAAGAGTTATACTATACAACTATATTTTTAAACATTAAATAAAAATTAATAATATATTTAATATTAAAATTATCCATTTATTTCTTACATTTTAATAAATGTTCAAAATGTCGACCATTTACAAATAAACACATTTCCATTAGGTTTAAAACTCCACGGTGCGTTATTTTTAAAAGGATTTCTCTAGAAATCGAAGCAAAGATGTTTAATATTTTTTTTTTTTTAGTTCATGGTTGTCCTAAACAGTTATGTTAATGGTGGATACGTCTTATTCCATATTTCATTCACTGTTAGCCACCAAACTATACCTAATAACATGTGTATACTGTATAACATGTACTATCCAGAAAAACAATATTTAAAAAAAATTATTAAACATTTACATTAAAAACAGGTACTTGCAGGTAGGTACAAGGTACTATTTGAATGTTTAAATAATTTGTTTACAAATAGAGAATCCATCGGCAACAAAAGTTTTGAATATGTTTTATTACGTTTAATTAAAATTGATAGATATAAACTATTCCCACTAAATTTAAAACTTAAAACAGTAAGTCAAATGAAAATCAGGACTTCTAATCACACATATTAGAAGCAGATTTAAAAAATAAACAAAATATCTAGGTACTGCGAATAAGAATTTGTCCATTTTTTTAGTAACCGTTTCTCTAGAGATAACTTAAACGTACAATTGTTTGTTTTTTCATAGTTGATAAAAAAAACCTTCAAATATGAAAACTACAAGAAAAATCAAAAAATTAGGAAACTAGATCCAAAATGTTACAACAAAGTAGTGTCATTTTTTGATTGGAGTAAGAATTTTGGTAAATAAAAAAATATGAATGAAATAATAACTAAAACAGTGCGTTATACTGTTATACTTAATATCTTAAAGTAGAATAACTGAGAAACTTTTCGTTCGAATTTTAATTACAATACGTCAACATTTTCAGAAAAATCATCCGATTTGTTGCAAATTATATTGCATTAAAATATGTAGGTGCCTGTTTGAAAAACCAAAGTTGGTGTCATCACAGGATACTCATT